AAAAAACCCAGTAAGCTCGTGAGCGCTGGTAACAGTGGCTTATTCCTCTTGCCTGATGTTTATAAATAACTCATTATAACTACCTACTGACACTATAAGTTTATATTTGGGAAAACTTCATATAATACACAAGTAATGGGGTAGGGTACTCAGAGAAATATTGTCTCATTAGGAGAAATAAATTATCCCTAGTCTAAACTATTTTAGTATCATTTAACAAGGTTCTTCTACTAGGCACAAAGTTATAAACTACCACTTGGAAGTAAACTTTAATAATTTAAATGATATGTCATATAAACCCTAATGCAACCACTAATATATTAATAATATAGCAAAGTTGTATAAAATAAGCCAAAATGGTGATAAAATAAAATAATAAAAAATATTTAATTCAAAAGAAGGAAAAAAAGAGAAAAAACAGAAATAATAGATGGCAAAAATACAAAACAAATAAGAAAAGACTTAAACCCTATCACCATAAATAAATGTTCCAAATAAAATAAAAAGGCAGAGATTCTTAGACTGAAAAAAAACCAAAACTGACCTATACACTACCTATAAGAATCTCACTTTAAATATACAAACATAAGAGTTTTTCCAACATTTTCTTCTAGCATTCTTATGATTTTTCCTGCCTTACATTTAAGTCTTTAATCCATCTTGAATTAATTTTTGTGAGTGATGAGAGATATGGATCCTGTTTCATTCTTCTGTTTGTGGATACCCAGTTCTCTCAGCATTACTTATTGAATATGGCTTTTATAACTAAGTGTATATTGCTTTCTGCTTTGTCAAAGATCTGTTGGTTGTATGTAGTTGGTTTTATATCCAGGTTCCCTGTTTTGTTCTATCAATCTGTCTCTATTTTTGTGCCAATGCCACATTGTTTTTGTTACTATAGACCACTATTAATAGTATAGTTTGAAGTCTGGTAATATGATGCCTCTAGATTTGTTCTTTTTGTTTAAGATTGCTTTGGCTATTCAGGCACTTTTCCAATGAAGCATAGAATTATTTTTTCTAGATCTGCAAACTACGATGTTGGATTTTGATGGGGATTGCATTGAATCTGTAAATCACTTTGGGTAGCATGGACATTTTAACAATGTTGATTCTACTGATCCATGAGCATGATATGTTTTTCCATTTGTGTCATCTGTGATTTCTTTCTCCAGTGTTTCACTGTTCTCTCTGTAGAGTATATTTCTGGATATTTTCTTTCTTTGTGACTATGGTGAATGGTATTGTATCTTTTATTTGACTCTCGGTTTGATTGTTGTTGGTGTATAGTAATACTACTGATTTATGTACACTGATTTTGTACCCTGAGACTTTGCTGAATTTATCAATTCCAGGAATATCTTGCTGGAGTCTTTGGGGTTTTCTAAATATAAGATGATATCATCAAAAAGTGATAGTTTTACCTCCTCTTTACCAATTTGGATACTCTTTATTTCTTCTTGCCTGATTTCTCTGGCTAGGACTTTCAGCACTGTGTTGAATAGAAGTGGTAACAGTGGGCACTGTTGTCTTGTTCCAGTTCTTAGTGGGAATGCTTTCAATTTTTTCCCATTCAGTAGGATGTTGGTTGTGGGTTTGTCATATATGCCTTTTATAGTTTTGAAAATATTCTTTCTATGCCTAGTTGGTTAACGATTTTTATCATGAAAGGGTGCTAAATTTTGTCAAATACTTTTTCTGCATATATTGAGATGATCATATGGTCTTTCTTTTTGCTTCTGTTTATGTGGTGAATCAGTTATTGACTTCCATATGTTGAACTGTGCTCTTGCATTCCTGGGATGAAGCCCACTTGGTCATGGTGAATTATTTTTTTAATGTGCTCTTGAATTTGTTTTGCTAGTATTTTTGTGGATTTCTGCATCTATATTCATAAGAAATATTTGTCTTTGTTTTTTTTTAATGTGTTCTTTTCTGGCTTTGGTATCAAGGTGATACTGGCTTCACAGAATGGGTTGGGAAGGATTCTCTCCTTCTCAATGTGATGAAATAATTTCTGCAGTATCGGTACCAGCTCTACCTTGTAGGTTCTAGTAAAATTTGGCTATGAATCCATGTGATCCAGAGATTTTTTTGTTGTTGTTGGAAGCTTTTTTTTTTTAATCACTGATTTAATCTTGTTGCTTATTCTTGGTCTGTTCAGGAGTTCTATTTCTTCCTGATTGAGTCTTGGAAGGTTGTGTGTTTCCAGGAATTTGTTCATTTCCTCTACATGTTTTAGTTTATATGCATAGATATTTTCATAGTATTCACCAATGATATTTTGTATTTCTGTGGTATCAGTTGTCACATATCCTTTTTCATTTCTGATTGAACTTATTTGGGTTCTTCCTCTTCTATTCCTAGTTAATCTAACAAGAGGTCTATCAATTTTGTTTATCTGTTCAAAGAACCAACTTTTTATTTCATTGATACTTTGTATTTTTTTGTTGTCTGTTTTCCATTTAGTTTAGTTCTGCTCTGACCTTAGTTATTTATTTTCTTCTGTTGGCTTTGGGTGTAGTTTGCTCTTCCTTTTCTAGTTCCTTGAGACATGTCATTAAATTGTTGATCTATGATCTTTCCGTCTTTTTGATGTATGCATTTAAGACTATGAATTTTCCCCTAAGTAGAGATTTATGAAGACTCCAATGGCAATCACAACAACAAAAATAAATAAATAGGACTTGATTAAATTAAGAGGCTTCTGTAGAGTTAAGGATATAATTGACAGAGCAAATAGCCTACAGAACGAGAGAAAATATTCACAAGCTACACATCTGATAAAGGGCTAATAACCAGAATTTACGAATAACTTAAGGAAATCAGCAAGAAATAAAACAAACAACCTCATTAAAAGTAGACAAAAGACATGAATAGAAGCTTTTCAAAAGAAGATAGAATGGCCAATAAAAATATGAAAAAAATGCTCAATCTCACTAATCATCAGGGAAATGCAAATTAAACCCACAAGAAGATATCCTCTTACCCCAGTTAGAATGACTTTTATTAAAAAGTCCCAAAACAATAGATACTGGGATGGATGCAGAGAGAAAGGAACACGTATACACTATTGGTGAGACTGCAAATTAGTACATTTATGGAAAACAGTATGGAGGTTTCTCACAGAACTAAAATTAGACCTGCCATTCAACCCTGCAATCACATTACTGGGCATCTACCCAAAGAAAAAGAAGTAATTTTATGAAAAATACACCTGCACTCTAATGTTCAGCACAGCACAATTGACATTGGCAAAGATGTGGAATAAACCTAAGTACGCATCAGTTCATGAGTGGATTAACAAAATGTGGCAGATATATATATCATGAAGTACTACTCAGCCATAAAAATAAATGAATTAATGTTTTTGCAGCAATTTGGATGGAACTGGAGACCATTATGCTAAGTGCAGTATCTCCAGAATGGAAAATAAACACCACACGAACTCTCTAATAATTTGGAACTAATTGGTGGGTACAGAAAGAAGTCAAAATGTTCAAAATCAATAAGGGGGTATGAGGGAAGAGGGGAGGGGTAAAAACCTACCTAACAGGTACAATGAACACTATTTGGGTGATCAGCACACTTATAGCTATGACAAAAGCATTATAGAAGCTATTCATGTGACAAAAACATTTGTACCCCTTAATATTTTGAAATGAAAAAAATAATGTTTAAAAGAGTAGATTTGAATAGTCATTTCACCAAAGAAGCACAGAGGGTGAAAAATCACATTAAATAATGTTCTATATATAATTATTTAAAATGTAAATTAAAAATACAATGGAATACCACTACATACCCATTAGAATGTTAAAAATTGAAAAGACTGATCATACCATCTGTTGTTAAGGATGTATAGTAACTGGAACTCACATAGGAGAATGTAAAATTGCATAACAACTTTAGAAAATATTATAATTTGGCAGTATCCTAAAAAGTTAAACATACATCTACCATATATAATTCAGTCCTTCCATGACTGTGTATTTACCTGAGAGAAAACAAAGCAAATATCCATACAAACATTTACTTGTCTATGAATGTTCATAACACTCTTATTGGTAATAACCAAAAACTAGAAACAACCCAAATGTCCATCAGTAGGTGAATGGATAAAGAGATTTTGGCATATACACATAATAGAATAGTGCTCATCAATGAAAAATAATGAACCATTGATAGGTGTGACACCATGGAGGAATCTCAATAGTTTTGCTGGGTGAAAGAAGCCAAATTAAAAAAAAAATAGTACATACTATACGACTTCACTTACATGAAATTAGAAAATACAAAGTTGACAAAAAGCAGATTAGTGATTAGTGGTTGCCTTAGAATCAAGGGCCATGTACAGGGAGTAAGTGTGAGGGGTTACAAAAGGACATGAGGAAACTTTTAGAGGCAATAGATATGTTCATTTTCTTTATTTTACTGTGGTATGTTTTCATGAGTATGTACATATACAAAAACTTACCAAGTTATACATTTGAAATGTGTTATATGCCAATTATATATACATAAATACATTAAAAAACAAACAAAATCATTTAAAACCCACTTTGTCTGGAGCTAAAGACATCTGTGTACCTGATGCTTTTACTGAGAGCTTCTGGCTTTCCTAGTATGCTATTCCTCAGCTCTTTTCAAAATGTCTTCAAATCTGTTATCTCACCAGTAGACCTTCCAACTTATCATTAGCTTTTCCAGTGCACTGAATGATGCATTTGATGGTCTAAATATAATTGTTACCTACTCAATCTATTAAAATTATTTATGTTCTTCATTCACATTTGACATGACCTCTCCTGAACACTTTATAAATTCTGGATCACTGCCATCACAATATTTTATGTGACTAAACTCTGAGCATAGAGTTAAATATTCAGAAAACTTCACATCTCCAGAATTGGGCAGGGAAAGGAAACTTGAAATATAATAGCAATGCCATAGAAGAAACCAATGATTAAATAAACATTAAATTATTTTTCTTAATACAGAGGATATTGAACAAAGTAAACTTCCAAGCCATGACCATAACTACCTCCTGCCTTCTTCTTCTGATATAGAACTCCTGTCCACGGGCTTTCGAGACAAAAGTAAGATTTCTCAGGTAACTTAGCCCCTACTTTATCCTATTGCTTTTGTAACAAATGTATTATTACTCTTAGTGGCAACTTATTTCTACAAAGTTTATATTTCTAATAAGAAGTATTTTTCCATATTTTTAAACTCAGTGAAGCAAAGTGTAGTGATACATAGAGCATTTTTGGTTTCCTGATTTTCATCTCTATTAATAAGAATTATGCTCATAATTCTCAAATATAACAATTTATATTACTCTAATTCTTATAAAATGTTCATGAAGTAGGTATTTTCTAGTTATGCTTCTTTTTGCTTGGCTAACAAATAATAAACAGTTCACTAAAAACGAGGACCTGCTGCTTATTTAGAAAAATTAACAAAGTTACCACTTAACAGCCTTTTCAATACAATCATGATTTATTCCCCAAGCATAATAATGACATTGTGACTTGTATTTTGTGTAAAAGAGCTATTAAATTGAAAAACAAGACAATAAAATAGTTTACCTCAGTACCAAGTAAATAGTTTTTACACTGTCCCAATCCTTGAGAAAACTGGGAGGCTGTATATCTCTATATATTCCCCTACTTTCTTCAAAGTACATAAGTTTATCCATAGGCTCTATTAGTCAATTTGCCCTGGGGCTGAGGTTGGGCTGTCCAGCAGATGGCCTTGTATCCACACACAATGAGCCAGGAGCTCAGTAAAACTGCTTGGAAAGCCTTAAAGGTTAGGAATTTCTTAGGATGGAAAGGTCTAAGCAGTGCCTTCTCCTCCCATGGCTGAGGTCATTAGAACTGTGGGAGGCTGAGGAGATACAGAAGCAACACATTTCACATTATATGGTAAAAAATGCCACATAGATTAAATATCCGTATGCCTGATGATGTATCTTTCCAAAATCAAGGGTCATTCTTATCCACCTCACCTCAAAAATCACAGGCCTGGTTGACTCTGAAGCTGTCCATTTTCATGAGGAAACCAGGCATCTGCGTGTAGGTTTACTTGCCATTCTTTCTTCTTCCACACACTCCAGTGCCCTGGCATTGAAATCCTGAGTGCCACCAGTGGGCTAGTGAGCCTAGGCCAGGCAGCTTCCTCGGGTCCTCTTCCAGGTGGTTTGGGAGACTCACTGTCACCATCCCCAGGTTAGTGTCCTCTCTCATCTGAGTTAAAGTCCATCAGGTTTAAAAAACAGATTTGGGGGAAGATTCCTTGGGTCTTTGTGTTCATGACCTGTTATTTAGCTCCCAATTGTGAGACCAAACGAAGCCCAGTGCTAGCTCTGTATGCAGGACTAGCGGCTGGACAATCCAAGTGTAGGACTATCAGAAGTAGATGGAACAGGTGGGTTGAGAGAACCCAAGATTATAGAAGAAGACCAACAGGATCATAGCCAAAAACAAAGTCCAAATGATGTAAATAGGAGTTTAAGCAGCAAGGTTGTTAGCCAAAGGAGCTGGAAGAAAAACACCATTAAATGCAAGGAATGGATTAGGAAAGAAAAAAACAGTTCACAAACTAAGGTACTTTTCTTTTATGTAGTGACCAGTTGTAAGAGAAAACACTGTCTTGTAAAGGATCCACAGAGAGCCATGAAAGTGTCAGTAACTTAAAAAAGGAAAACTTGTTTATGGACAATAAACTATTAATCTCATTCATGGATTTATAAAGTAATACATCTATTTGCGAGATGTTCTTCATAGATGTGAGATTTTTAAAAAGAGTGTAAGTCAAACATGCAGGAATACTAAACAAATTGTGGAATATCAAGTTAACATCCACTATGCTGAAATTAAAACAAGTAGCATCAAGAACATGTAACAACATGGTGTGATAGCAAGAAGCAAGAGGATATAAAGGTGACCTCTAGGGAGTCCAGCTGATCCTATGTGATTGATGTATTCCTACAGAGTTAGGTGTAGATCGTATTTTATAAAGCAAACTCTATCCTTTGATTTAATCTACTGTCATAGCAGTGCCTTTACAAGACAGAAACTTTTAACTCTAGTTCTACATTTCACTGGGAATTGCTTCTACAACTTTTAGATATATAAATGCTTTGTTGAGTAAACAATTATTCAAAAAGAATATTCCCCCTTCCAATGATTTTTTTAACTTAGCATCTTATATAATTAAATTTGTCTTTCTTAAACTAGGGCAAACTATTTATGATATTCAGTCCACCTCACTAAGCCTAGGTTACCCTATTTTAGTTTTCTTCCATAGCTTTCCAAGACTACCATCTGTCACCCCTTGGCCCAAGGGGACAGAGGCTGCTGGCCATCCATTCTCACTCAGACCTCAGTTCTTCCCTATTCACAAAAAAATAGCAATACTCCATCCTTTTTAAGAGGATGCAGAAAAGCTTTATTGGTGATATTGAGTACCTTTTGCACTTGGGAGAGTAACTTTTTTTATGTAAAGCCAAAAAAGACAAAATCTGGCTCATTCATCTTTCATTAGCTGAGAGATCCATAGTAATGTAATTATGTTCAAATTTTATTTTATTTTAAAATTCGTTTTATTTCAGCATATTACAAGGATACAAATGTTTAGGTTACATATATTGCCTATGTCCCACCCGAATTTAGAACTTCAGACATGTCCATCCCCTAGGCCGTGAGCACTGCACCCATGAGGTGTGTACATACCCATCCCCTCTTCCCCACTCCCATCTGTCTGACACCTGATGAATGTCATTCCTATATGTGCAGTTAAGTGTTGATCAGTTAATACTGATTTGATGGTGAGTACATGCAGTGCTTGTTTTTCCATTCTTGGGATACTTCACTTAGCTCTATCCAGGATAATACAAGAGGTACTAGATCACCATTGTTTATTATGGCTGAGTAGAACTCCATGGTATCCATATATGACATTTTATTAATCCACTTATGTATTCATGGCACTTGGGTTGTTTCCACATCTTTGCAACTGTGAATTGTGCTGCTATAAACATTCAAGTGCAGATGTTTTTTTGTAGAATGTATTTTGTTCCTTTGGGTAGATGCCCAGTAATGGGATTGCTGGATCAAATAGTACTACTTGTAGCTCTTTGAGGTATCTCCATATTACTTTCCACAGAGGTTCTACTATAATTTGCAGTCCCACAAGCAGTGTATAAGTGTTCCCATCTCTCTGTATCCACACCAACGTTTATTGTTTTGAGATTTTTTTGATAAATGCCATTCTCACTGAAGATAAGTGAAATCTCATGGTGGTTTTTATTTCCATTTCCCTCATGATTAGAGATGTTGAGAATTTTTTCATATGTATGTGGCCATTAGTTTACCCTTTTTTGAAAACTTTCTGTTCATGTCCTTTGCCCACATTTAGATAGCGCCATTTGATTTTTTTCTTGCTGATTTTCCTGAGTTCTACATAGATTCTAGTTATCAGCCATTTATCAGATGTGTAGCATGTGAATATTTTCTCCCATTCTGTAGGTTGTCTGTATGCCTTTGTGACAGTTTACTTAGCTGTGCAGAAGCTTTTTAATTTGATCAGGTCCCATTTAATTATTTTTGTTGTTGCCGTGATTACCTTTGGGGTCTTCTTCATAAATTATTTGCCTAGGCCAATGTCTATAAGAGTTTTTTCAAAATTTTCTTCTAGAATTCTTATGGTTTCATTCCTTAAAGACTGTTATCTACTGTGAGTCAATTTTTGTGAGAGGTGAAAGGTGAGGATCCTCTTTCAGTCTTCTACATGTGGCTATCCAATTTACCCAGCACTATTTATTGAATAAGGATTCTTTTCCCTAGTGTATGTTTTTGTCTGCTTTGTCAAAAATTAGATAACTATATGATGATGGTTTTATATCTGGGTTATAAGTCCTGTTCCATTGGTCTATATCCTTGTTCTTGTGTCAGTGATATGCTGTTTAAGTTACTATAGCCTTGTAGTATAGCCTGATGTCTGGTAAATTAATGCCTCCCAATTTGTTCTTTTTACTTAAGATTGCTTTTGCTATATTGGGTCTTCTCTGGTTCCATACTAAGCATAGAACTATTTTTTTTCTAGATCTGCCAAATGATGTTGATATTTTAATAGGGATTGCATTAAATCTGTAGATCACTTTGTGTAGTATAGACATTTTTAACAATGTTGATCCTGCCAAGAATGAGCATGGTTATGGTTTTCCACTTGTTTATGGCCTCTGCTATTTCCTTCCTCAGCATTTTATAGTTCTCCCTGTAGAGATCTTTCATCTCCTTAGTTAAATATATTACTAGATATTTTATTTTCTTTGTTGCTATTGTGAAGGGTATTGAGTCTCTGATTTGATTCTCAGTTTGACTGTTGTTGGCATATAAGAATGCTACTGATTTCTGTACATTGACAGAGACTTTGCTGAATTTATTTATCAATTCTAGTAGTCTCATGGCAGAATCTTGGGGTTTTCTAGATAGAAGATCATATCATCAGCAAAGACTCTTCTGCCCCCATTTGGATGACCTTGATTTCCTTCTCCTATCTGATTGCTTTGGCTAAGACTTCCAGCACTATGTTGGATAGAAGCGGTGATAGAGGGCAAACTTGTCTGGTTCCAGTTCTACATGGGAATGCTTTCAATTTTTCCCCATTTGGTGTGATGTTGGCTGTGGGTTTGTCATGTTATATGGCTTGTATTATTTTTAGGTAAGTCCCGTCTATTCCTATTTTATTAAGCATTATTATCATAAAAGGATGCTGAATTTTATTGAATGCTTTTTCTGCATCTGTTGAGAGGATCATATGGTCTTTGTTTTTACTTCTATTTATTTGGTGAATTACATTTATAGATTTGCATATGTTGAATCATCCCTGCATTTCTGGGATAAAGCCCACTTGGTCATCATGGATTATTTTTTTGATAAGCACCTGAATTTGGTTTGCTATGATTTTGTTGAGAAGTTCTGCATCTCTATTCATAAGGGATATTGGTCTATAGCTTTCTTTTTTTGTTGTGTTCTTTCCTGGTTTTGGTATCAGGGTGATGTTGGCTTCATAAATGTGTTGGGGAGGATTCCTTCCTTCTTGATATTGTGGAATAATTTCCGCAGATAGGCACCAGTTATTCTTTGTGTGTCTGGTAAAATTCGGGTGTGAAACCATCTGGTTCAGGACTCTTCTTTTTAGGAAGGTTTTTTATTGCTGGTTCAATTTCAGTACTTGATAATGGTCTGTTCAGGAATTCTATTTCTTCTTGATTGAGGCTAAGGAGGCATTTTCAAGTTTATGTGCATAGAGGTGTTTATAATATTCATAAAAGACATTTTGTATTTCTGTGGTATCAGTTGTAATTTCTCCTTTTTTATTCTCGATGGAGTTTATTAGAATCCTTTCTCTTCTGCTTCTCATTAATCTAGCAAAAGGCATGTTAATTTTGTTTATTTTTTCAAAGAACCAACTTTTTATTTTATTACTCTTCTGTATAGTTTTATTGTTGTTGTTATCGATTTCATTTAGTTCTACTCTGATCTTTGTTATTTCTTTTCTTCTGCCGTGTTTGGGGTTGGTTTGCTCATCCTTTTCCAATTCTTTGAGATTATTCATTAGATTGTTAATTTGTGATCTTTCTGTCTTTTGGATGTAAGCACTGTGGATATAAATTTTCCTCTTAATACTGCTTTAGCTGTGTCCCACAGGTTTGGATACCTTGTGTTTCCTTTACCATTTAGTTCAAAGAATTTTTTGATTTCCATCTTGATTTCCTCCTTAACAAAATAATCATTTAGCAGAAGGTTGTTTATTTTCCATGACTTTGTACAGAGATGAGAGTTTCTGTTGGAGTTGATTTCTACTTTTATCCCACTGTGGTCTTAGAATATGCATGGTATAATTTCTATTTTTTTAAATTTGTTGAGACATGCTTTGTAGCCTAGCATATGGTCAGTCTTAGAGAATGTTCAATGAGCTGATGAGAAAAACATATATTTAGTGATTTGGGCGTAAAATGTTCTGTAAATGTCAGTCAGGCTCATTTGTTCTAGAGTTCTGGTTAAGTCCATTGTTTCTTTGTTTATTTTCTGTTTGGAGGATCTTTCCTGTTCTGTCAGAGGGGTCTTGAAGTCCCCAGCTATTACAGTGTTGCTGTTTATTAATTTGTTTAGATCACGTAGGATTTGCTTTATGAATCTGGATGCACCTAAATTAGGTACATAAATATTTAGAATTGTTATGTCTTCATGTTGAATTGTGCCCTTCACCATTATATAGTAACCATCTTTGTATTTCATTACTTTTGTTGATTTGAAGACTAAGTTATCTGAAATCAGAACTGCCATATCAGCTTTCTTATGGCTTCCATTTGCTTGAAATATTGTTTTCCATCCCTTCTCCCTGAGTCTGAATGTATCTTTGTTGGTAGATGTGTTTCCTGAGGACAGCAGATAATTGGTTTGAGTATATTTATCCATTCAGTCAGCCTAGTTCTCTTTAGTGGGCAGTTCAAGCCATTCACATTTATTGAAAGAATTGATAAATGGGGCAGATTTCTGTTCATCTTGTTGAGTTAACATTTGTTGCTTTTTTCTCTCTCTTGAAGTCATTGAGGTATCTGGCCTTTGAACTTTAGCTTTTTGATGATTTTACATTGGTGAGTGTTGATTGTGCTAATCTGTGTGTAATGCTTTTTTTAGTACTTCCTGGAGGGCAGGTCCTGTCTCAATGAATTCTCCATCTTTGCTTGTCTGAGAAGGTCTTTCCTTCTCCTTCATATAAGAAATTTAGTTTTGCATGGTACAAGATTCTAGGCTGGGCATTATTCTGTTTGAGAAGGGTGAGAATGGGGCCCTAGTCCTTTCTTGCTTGTAAGGTCTCAGATGTGAAATCTGCCTTTATTCTGATGGGTTTTCCTCTGTAGATTACCTGCTTCTTTCACCTTATAGCTCATAGGGTGGCCTCTTTCATGGTTATTTTGGCCAATCTGATGACTCTGTGTCATGGTGTCTTCCTGTTTGCTATGAATTTCCCAGGAGTCCTTTGAGCTTCTTTTACCTGAATATCTAGATTTTTTAACAAGGCCTGGGAAATTTTCCTCCATTACATATTCAAATAGCTTATCCAACCCTTGTGTATTTGCTTCTTTACCCTCAGGGATGCCTATAATTCTCATGTTTATCTTCTTCACATAACCTCGCATTTCTTGCAGGCTTTGCCCTTTTCTGATATTTCTCTGCCTCTGTCTCTGCAACTGACTTATTTAATTGAAAGATGTTATCTTCAATTCCTGAAATTCTTTCCTTTGTTTCATCTACCCTTTTCTTGAGGCTTTTTGCTGTGTTTTGTAATTTCTTGAATAAATTCTGCATTTCCAGAGTTCTGTTTGATTTTTCTTTAGTATTTCAATCTTTCAGTGAATTTTTCTTCCAAGTCTTGGATCTTTTTTGTGGTTTCTTTGAGTTGGCTGTCCATTTTCTCTTGCATATTATTGAGTTTTCTTACAATCCATGTTTAAATTGTTCTTCTGTCATTTTTAGTGTTCTGAATTGGTTGATATCCATTGCTAATGAGCTGGTGTTCCCCTTTGGGGGTGTGCTTTATATTTGATTCTTCACACTTCTAGAGTTGTTTCACTGATTCTTTCCCATCTGGAGCAGCTGTTGCTTCTTACTCATGACATGCCCAGATTAGTCTGTGAGCCAATAGTTGGTGAGATTAGTTGGTGAGAATAGTTGTGGGTGAGATTCAATCACACTCTGTATGATGAGCCAATAGTTGCAATAAAAGAGTATTCAAATTGATCTCTCTGTCAGTAGGTGGCACTTGCTGGAAGGAGCAAGTGGTAGTGTTGTTTTGGGGCCCTGTAACCATCTGTCTTGCCTCTCGTGAGGCACTCTAGTGCCTGAGCTGGTGGGTGAGGCACTGGGACTTCCAACTGTGTGATTATGCTCCACTTTAGTGGGGGAAGATGAGGGAGTGAAGCTAGGTGGAGCTGGCTTGGGTGAGCCTTCCCTCAAGCTCCACAAATGCTGTCAGCAGAGGTCAAAGGTCTTTTCTCTGCTTCTGCATAAAGCTGCCAGGGAGGGGCTGAAATGGTCCCACTCAGCCAAAAAGTCTGAGTCTGGAGGTGGGGCTGTCTGAGACATGCAGTCTGGTGCAGGCCTTACTCCTTTCCACCCTTCCCAATTCTGTGGTTTCTCCTGGGTCTTTGCCAGGAGGCAGGACCTCAAGCCAGCAGACCTCTCATGACTGTGATGTGAGCCGAGAGGTTCCCTGCCCAGGATTGCAGCCTGAGCTGGGATCCCAGCCCTCCCATGGGAGGAGGGTTAACCCCCAAGCACACTACAGCTAGGACCCACCCTGATCTGCCCTGAAGTCACACACACCTCAGCAGACTAGTTCACAAATATCCCTTCTGTGGCCCCGGGCAATGCAATTGAGACCTGTGTGTATAGAATCCGGACTGCAGGCCTACCCACTAGCCCAGGAGATTGATCCCTGCCTCTGCCAAGGAGACAAGTGCCAGTCTCAAGTCACCCATAGGGTGACCAAGCTGGATCAATGTCTCTCCACCTCAGGATTAGTGTTGCTCTGCTGGAGTCACCAGGCAAGCAGCACCTGGAAGGGCTGGCGGCTAGAGAGCTCAAAGCCTGAGTACCCCTCTCAGTCCACTCTAGGGTTCCAAAAGGAAAGGTCCCATTTCCTACAGATACCTCAGGGTGGTGGCTAAATTGTCTCTCTTGGCATCTGAGGGTAGGGAAGGGGAAGAGGAAAATGAAGCATTATGGCACTTGGATCTGTGGGGAAGGAGATGCCCCAAGGGAGATGGGAGCCTATTACCCTGTCTGTAAGAGCCTCACCACTTGCTGGCAGCATCAGTCACTGCGCTGGTGTTGGCAGTTCTCTCTAGCAACTCAGGAGCCCACCAGCAGTCCAAGATGCAAGGGAGGGGACATTTAATCACTCCACCTACCCTTGTCACTGATCTCCAAGCCTCTCAGGGTTTAGACCCTGCTGGTGCCTTTCTCCTTCCAGTTCTGCTCCAAAACGTCTTCCCATGGAGTCTCCTGTAGTTTCAGGCACCCTTCCTTCTGACCTTCATCAGATCTATGTTTGTCTGCTTGTTAATTTTTTTTGAATTTTATCTAAAATCTATCTTTGTTGCAGAGACACTTTTAAAAGGGATTGTTTGAATTGTATTTCTTACACCTCAATCATGAACATGTAAGCCTTTTATCTCTTTCTGTTTCCTGATCCCTTTCTGGGAAAGAGAAAAGTCCTTTGAGTCACCTTGACTTTCTCACCCCATCCCCTCCTACATCTTCTAGTAACCACGTTTGTTTCTGATCTGAGCAAACTCATTTCCAAAGCTGAAGAAGTTCATTATGATATTTGAACAGTTGAATTCCTTTAAAATCAGAAGAAACAATTAAGCATAATTCCACTTGTATTGTACTCATTTTTATACCAACACTGTTGTAAAATATAATTTTTAATATTTTCTAATAAAGGAGGGGGTCCTTCCTCTCCAGGGACTTGGTAAGACTTTTGCTAGCCTCCCTTTGAATGCTCTGTCCCACTTCAGTAGAGGACAACTCTATTTTATAAAGAGGTAACCCCTGCCCTCCAGTTTTCCCTGTTTTTGTCTTTGCTCTGCAGAATGCTCCTGTCTACTCCTGTCTGCAGAAGCATTGGGAGTTTATATGAATCATCACTTTCCTTTTCCTGCTGTCTGAATTTGAGTAAAAGCTCTCAACTTATTTTCAAGGGCAAAGTTGCAAAAGGTGCACAGAAGTCTTGGGGCCCCACCTGGCCCTGGAGCTTCCCCACAATGTCTGAGTTTAACTATCTTTCTTATGTGGGGGTTGGCAAGGCCTGATGTCATGACTCTTTTTTTTTTTTTTTTTTCTTTTTGGTTGCAGAGAATAGGACAAAGCTTACTGCCCTCCTTGCTGACTGACTTTGTGTGGAGTCTCCTGAAGAAACTCTGTATCTTTGATAACAAAATTGCAACTGAGGCAGCATCCATATTGAAACTGACTCTGGAATACCATGCCCAGAAGGTCACCATGGTAAGATACATGACAATAAGCAGGTGAACACAGGGTTTCCTCTCTAAAATACACGTACTGCCTTTGGTATATGCCTACTTCTTTTTTTCTGTGTGTGTGGGGGGAGGCGGTTTCATTCTTTTTTTATTTATTTATTTTTAGCACATTATGGGAGTACAAATGTTAAGGTTATGTATATTACCCTTGCCCCCTCACCCCTCAAGTCAGAGCTTCAAGCGTGTCCATCACCCAGTTGGTGCACATCGCACTCATTTTGTATGTATATACCCAACTCCTCCCCTGCACCTGCCCCACACCTGATAAAGGTTATTTCTATATATCCACTTAGGTGTTGATCAGTTAATACCAATTTGCTGGTGAGTACATGTGGTGGTTATTTTTCCATTCTTGGGATACTTCACTTAATAGAATGGGTTCCAGCTGTATCCAGGAATATACAAGAGGTGCTAGATCACCATTGTTTCTTAAAGCTGAGTAGTATTCCATGGTATACATATACCACATTTTATTAATCCACTCATAAATTGATGGGCACTTGGGTTGTTTCCATAGTTTTGCAATTGTGAATTGTGCTGCTATAAACATTCGAGTGTAGGTCTCTTTTTTGATAGAGTGACCCTTGTTCTTTTGGGTAGATGCCCAGTAATGGGATTGCTGGATCAAATGGTAGAGCTACTTGTACTGCTTTAAGGTATCTCCATATTGCTTTCCACAGAGGTTGAATTAGTTTGCAGTCCCACCAGCAATGTAGGAGTGTTCCTATCTCTCCTCATTCACGCCAACATTTATTGTTTTGGGACGTGTTAATAAAGGCTATTCTCACTGGAGATAAGTGATATCTCATTGTAGTTTTGATTTGCATTGCCCTGATGATTAGAGATGTTGAGCATTTGTTCATGTTTGTTGACCATTATTCTATCTTCTTTTGAAAAGTTTCTGTTCATGTCCTTTGCCCATTTTTTGATAGGGTTGTTTGATTTCCTTGCTGATTTACCTGAGTTCTAAATAGATTCTAGTTATCAGACCTTTATCAGATGTGTAGCTTGCAAAAATTTTCTCCCATTCTGTGGATTGTCTGTTTGTTCTCTTGACAGTTTCTTTGGCTGTGCAGAAGCTTATTAGTTTGATCAGGTCCCATTTATTTATTTTTGTTGATGCAGTGATTGCCTTTGGGGTCTTCTTCATAAATTCTTTGACTAAGCCAATGTCTACAAGGGTATTTCCAATGTTTTCCCCTAGAATTCTAATAGTTTCACACCTACTGTTCAAGTCTGTTACCCAGAGTGAGTTGATTTTTGTGAGAGGTGAAAGGTGTGGGTCCTGTTTCAGTCTTCCACATGTGACTATCCAGTTTTCCCAGCATCATTTATTGAATAAGGATTCTTTTCCCCAGTGTATGTTTTTGTCTGCTTTGTTGAAGATTAATGTTGGCTATATGAGGATGGTCTTATATCTGGGTTCTCTGTTCTGTTCCACTGGTCAATGTCCCTGTTCTTGTGCCAGTAAAAATATGTTTTAATTACTGTAGCCTTGTAGCATAGTTTGAAGTCTGGTAAATTGATACCTCCTATTTTGTTTTTATTGCCTAGGATTGATTTTGCTATGAGGGGTCTTCTCTGGTTTCATACGAAGTATAAAATTATTTTTTCTATATCTGTGAAAAATGATGACAGTATTTTGATAGGGATTGTATTGACTCTGTAGGTAACTTTGGGTAGTATAGACATTTTAACAATGTTGATTCTGCCAACCCACAAGCATGGTATATTCTTCCACCTGTTTACATCCTCTGCTGTTTCCTTCTTCAGTGTTTCATAGTTCTCCCTGTAGAGGTCTTTTACCTCCTTAGTTAAATATATTCCTAGGTACTTTATTTTCTTTATTGCTATTTTGAAGGGAATTGAGTCTTTGATTTGGTTCTCACTTTTACCATTGTTGCTGTATATGAATGCCTCTGATTTCTGTGTATTAATTTTGTATCCTGAGACTTTACCAAATTCATTTATCAATTCAAGGAGTCTCTTGGTTGAAACCTTGGGATTTTCTAGGTATAATATCATGTAATCAGCAAAGAGTGAGAGTTTGATCTCTTCTGCTCCCATTTGGATGCCCTTAATTCCACTCTCTTGTATAATTGCTGTAGCAAGGACTTCCAGCACTATGTTGAAAAGAAGTGGAGATAGTGGGCAACTTTGCCTTGTTCCAGTTCTAAGTGGGAATGCTTTCAACTTTTCCCCATTCAGTATAATGTTGGCTGTGGGTTTGTCATATATGGCTTGTATCATTTTTAGGTAAGCCCCATCTATGCCTAATTTGTTAAGCGTTACTATCATAAAAGGATGTTGAATTTTGTCAAATGCTTTTTCTGCGACTATCGAGAGGATCAAATGGTCTTTGTTTTTGCTTCTATTTATATGGTGAATTACATTTATAGATTTGCATATGTTGAATCATCCCTGCATCCCTGGGATGAAGTCCACTTGGTTGTGATGGATTATTTTCTTGATAAGAACCTGGATTCAATTAGCTAGAATTTTGTTGAGAATAAAATCTGTCTTTTTTGCAGAGACACTTTGGCTTGCTGTTTTTCTCGTCTGCCATCTTGCTCCGCCCTCCCCCTACATGCCTACTTCTTTTCATACATATTTCTTGCCATTGTTCTTTATATCACTTTAATAAAATGAGGCTTTTTGTGTGAAATAATTTAAGCATTCAGAACAATTTTAGAGAATATTATAATAAATACTCACCTACCAATCATATTAAATCATATTTTGCTACATTTCCTTTAGATTTTTTAGCGAAATACATTAATAATAAAATAGTACAGCTGTAATTGAAATCCCATGTGTAGCCTCTAGGGAAGGTTTCAAGATTCCTCTGCTTGGTATAGGGCTGGCAACACAATTAGTGGGGCTTAGTGGAAAATGAAATATGGGCCTTCCTTTTCACAACAAAGAAAACAATTGTCATTAAATATACAAGCATAGGAAGTATTTTTTTTTCCTCCATTCCCTCTCTCTCTCACTCTCTCTCATCTTAATGGTGTTTTTATTTGCTATTTAATGTATTTCTAACTAAAAAACAACTAAAATTTTAAATTATTAGCCCAAATTTTACTATATATATTTATATTGTGCAATGCCAGTCATAAATGTAAAATAAGAGAACTTAATTCATATGCAGAATCACCAAAGTAATGTCATTTGTATTTTGTAGTTCACATATGCATATGCATTTCATTGTTACCAAAAGAGTGGGAACACTGCACAAAACTGTTTTCATCTCATTCATTTCTTGTCATTCACATGTCCTACTCACATTCTCTACCTTCAGCTTATTGATGACTAAGGAAAGACTGAAAGGAAAAGGATTTATGGGTTGCCGTATCATACTGTAATTGCAATGTATTCTGTTCCATTGTTTTGATTTTCTTTTTTTAAACACTTGAATTATTCTTATGTTTTCCGTACTGAGCTTATATGTTTCATATAATGAATTCTACCCTCCTAACATAAACTTATTTAAAAAGGGGGCATTTTCCCACTATCCATAAATGCACATATTTAGTAGTCATCCAAATAAATATTTTGCATTATGTAGTCAAACGTATAAATATGTTTTCTGCTAGCGCTTATTTGAGTATTAATTGATACCTTGGTCATTCTGAGAAGGACTGAATTCTTATGTCCAAGAAATGCTTTAGTTTAGAGGTGACCATGGAGCAGGAGACTCCTGTTGACCTGTGAAATTTCTCTTCCAGGTTTCTAAGATTGTGGATGTCATTTACAACCAACTGTGTGAAAATTCTGCTCACAGTATGAAGCATGATATGTTACGGGTCATTACCTTGCTGATACGCACTTCACCCAAGAAGATCATCTTTCAACTTATGGACTACCCAGTTCCAGCAGACGAGTAAGACGCCCCCTACACCCTGCCCCTTCCATGAGGGTTTGTTCACAGGCTCCACATCGCAGATGGACCTGGGCTTGATTCTTGATTTATCATGGTCAAGACTGGTTTCTTTTTCTGAAAGAGAAAATCTATTTTTGCCTCATGTAGGATGATTGTAAGGCTTAAATAAGATGTTATATGTTACTTATATCCTGGTACAATACCTGACACACGGTAGTCCCATAGGAAATAATCAATGTCACTAATATTTACCTGAGGCTTTAAATTATGTCGTGTTGCATGTCCCACAGAAACAAACCTCTCCTCAAAGTGATACTAGGTTTTTATTCCCGTTTGTGAATGTAATCATTTTTCTTGAGGAAATAAATTCATACAAGTGTTTTTTCTTATTTATGAAGGACAGAGACAAGATGTGTCTACCCACCAATAAAATAACAACATTAAAAATTCCCAGACAGACTTCCGGTCCCGCCACCCCGCCCGGCCGGGCATGGTGTTGGGCGCCGGGCCCGCCTCGCCTGTCTCCGGGTGCCCAGGGTACAGGTGGCAGTAATGCTAACGCTAGCAAGCAAACTGAAGCGCGATGACGGTCTCAAAGGGTCCCGGACGTCAGCCACAGCGTCCGACTCCACTCGGAGGGTTTCTGTGAGAGACAAGTTGCTTGTTAAAGAGGTTGCAGAACTTGAAGCTAATTTACCTTGTACATGTAAAGTGCATTTCCCTGATCCAAACAAGCTTCACTGCTTTCAGCTAACTGTAACCCCAGATGAGGGTTACTACCAGGGTGGAGAATTTCAGTTTGAAACTGAAGTTCCCGATGCATACAACATGGTGCCTCCCAGAGTGAAATGCTTGACCAGGATTTGGCACCCCAACATCACAGAGACAGGTGAAATTTGTCTAAGTTTACTGAGGGAACACTCAGTTGACGGCACTGGCTGGGCTCCCACAAGGACACTGAAGGATGTTGTTTGGGGATTAAACTCTTTGTTTACTGATCTTTTGAATTTTGATGATCCACTGAATATTGAAGCTGCAGGGCATCATTTGCGGGACAAGGAGGACTTCCGGAGCAAAGTGGACGACTACATCAAACGTTAGGCCAGATGATGAAGGGGCAGCTTGCAGGCCCACGGACTGTGTTACAGTTTGTCTCTAACGTGAAACAGCAAGAGGTAGCCCCACCTCTCCCCCGTCCTCACGCTCCCTCTCAGTCCCACTGGATTGTCCCAGCCCTGTGACCATGTTGTCCCGAATAAGACCATCTTCATGACTGCCCATCGTAGATGGAGAATTCCACATAAATACAGCAAGAACATGTATTTGGGTTTCTAAAGAGTTGTCTGCTTAGCTTAACATGTTTACTTTTTTGAAATTGTACTGTATAGGCTGTTGGTGAAATTCTTGAGAAGTTGTAATGAACTCAAAATTGAGGCTAGAGCTTGCTTACCCTTCCCCAAACAAAACTGGTCTCCTGCACAAGTGACGCTAATGATGTGTTCAGTGTAACGCGCAGGTTGGCAGTAAGAAACCCGCTACAAACTGTGGTTGGAGGCAAATTCTCTTAGCTTCTTCCATGAATGTTGGCCCTGCCTAGATGTCGTGAAGCTCTCCAGAACGCATAGAGTCACTCACTGTAGATCTCTTATTGAAATGCGTATTTTATTTAATGTAAGTATAATTCGGAACAGATTTGTAATTTGTACAATTTAATGCTTCAATCATTTTTTCTATTCTCATTTAGTTTGTATTTTCATTGTATAGAGCAGACAGAAAGATGTTGGGTCAATCAACTATTGAAGAGAAATACAAAGAAAATATGAAAAAAAAAAAAAAATTCCCAGACATAATTGGAAGTCATCTGTCTGAGCCTATGGGACTGTATGATCTAACAGGCACATTAGAAGCGCTTAGAAAGTCACATCACTCCATTTCTACAGTTTGCACATTGGAGAGGCAGGAATTGCTTCTCTAGGTTGGTGCAAAAGTAATTGCGGTTTAGGCATTGTTGAAATTTGCTATTTGATTTGGAATACATTTAAAAGTAAATGTGGTTATGTTATGCATTATTTTTTTGTTTATTTTATTTATTTTGAGACAAAGTCTCACTCTGGGCCTGGTGCGGTGGCTCATGCCTGTAATCCTAGCACTCTGGGAGGCCGAGGCGGGAGGATCGCTCAAGGCCAGGAGTTGGAAACCAGCCTGAGCAAGAGCGAGACCCCATCTCTACTATAAATAGAAAGAAACTAATTGGCCAACTAATATATATAGAAAAAATCAGCCGGGCATGGTGGTGCATGCCCGTAGTCCCAACTACTTGGAAGGCTGAGGCAGTAGGATCGCTTGAGCCCAGGAGTATGAGGTTGCTGTGAGCCAGGCTGACGCCATGGCACTCACTCTAGCCTGGGCAACAGAGCGAGACTCTGTCTCAAAAAAAACCCAACAAATTCTTACTCTATTGCCCGGGCTAGAGTACTGTGGTGTCAGTCTAGCTCACAACAATCTCAAATTCCTCGGCTCAAGTGATCCTTCTGTGTCAGCCTCCTGAGTAGCTGGGACTACAGGCATGTGCCCCTGCCTGGCTAATTTTTTTTTTCTACATATTTTTAGTTGTCCAGTAAATTTCTTTCTATTTTTTTTTTAGTAAAGATGGGATCTCACTCTTGCTCAGGATGGTCTTGAACTCCTGAGCTCAATTGATCTGCCCGCCTTGGCCTCCCAGAATGCTAGGATTACAGGCAAGAGCCACCACCCCTGGCCTTTTGTATCATTTTAATGCACGTTTCTCACTTTATTATTATTATTATTTTGCTAGTGACTTATTACTTGCTGTTTATTTCATATTTGTTTTAGACTATGGAAATGATGTTAGACAAAAAGTAAATTTGAGCAATTTTCTTATTGGAGTCCAAAATGGGCTGTAAAGCAGCAGAGACAACGCACAACATCAACAGCGAATGCATTTGGGCCAGGAACTGCTAACAAACATACAGTTTAGTGGTGGTTCAAGAAGTTCTGCAAAGGAGATGAGAGCCTTGCAAATGAGGAGCTCAGTGGCCAGCCATCAGAAGTTGATAATAACCAACTGATAGCAATCATCAAAGCTGATCCTCTTACAACTGCATGAGAAATTGCTGAAGAACTCAATGTCAACGTCAATAATTCTACAGTCATTCGGCATTTGGAGCAAATTGGAAAGGTGAAAAAGCTCAATAAGTGGGTGCCTCATGAGCTGACCGGAAATCAAAAAAATCATTGTTTTGAAGTGTCAGCTTCTCTTATTGTATGCAACAACAACAATAAACCATTTCTCTATCGAATTGTGTCGTGCAACAAAAAGTGGATTTTGCACGACAACTACTATGAACAGCTCAGTGGTTGGACTGAGAAAGTTCAAAAGCACTTCCCAAAGGCCAACTTGCACCAAAAAAGATCATGGTCACTGTTTGGTGGTCAGCTGCTGGTCTGATCCACTGCAGCTTTCTGAATCCCAGTGAAACCATTACATCTGAGAAGTATGCTCAGCAAATCGATGAGATGCACCGAAAACTGCAATGCCTACACCCAGCATTGGTCAGCAGAAAGGGCCCAATTTTTCTCAACAAAAATGCCTGCTTGCACATTGCACAACCAACTCTTCAAAAGTTGAACGAATTGGGCTACGAAGTTTTGTCTCATTTGCCATATTCACCTGACCCCTTGCCAACTGACTACCACTTCTTCAAACAACTCAACAACTTTTTGAAGGGGAAACATTTCTACAGCCAGCAGGATGGAGAAAATTCTTTCCAAGAGTTCACTGAATCCCGAAGCACGGATTTTTACACTACAAGAATAAACAAATTTATTTCTCCTTGACAAAAAATGTGTTGATTGTAATGGTTCCTATTTTTATTAATAAAAATGTATTTAACCTAGTTATAATGATTTAAAATTCAGGATCCAGAACTGAAATTACTTTTGCATCAACCTAATATTAAGTGTAAATGACAGAAAGTTATATTATGAAAAGGACCAGGCTTTGAAGAAAAATGAATCTGATTTTATATCAACCTTCACTCTTACATTCTATGTGATATCATGCAAGTTTGATAAACCTCCCTGATGCTCAATTTCCTCATCCACAAAATGAGGAAAGTTCTTTCTATCTATATAGTTGATATATAAATGAACTCAGGTTTGGCCACCTCTCACTTGAAAAAGCAGACTTCAGAGAGACAAGTGTTGGTAGAAGGAAAAGTTGGTTTATTCAAGACTAGCACCCTGAGGAGACGGTGGACTACTGTCTCAAAGACCATCTCATATTCCTGAGGCTGGCTGAAGGGTTTTAAAAGGAAGGAATTTGGGGAAACTATGTGTAGGTCAGCATATTTTCTTCTGATGATTATCTTGAGTCGTGGGCCATCTGGCAGTCCGGCTGGCATAAGCTAGACCACAGTAGAATTGAAGGTTAACTTCTCAGTATTTTCCTCCATAAGGGAGTCCTGCAATCTTGGTTCTATACTTAGTTGCTCAATGCCAGTTCCTGGAATTCTTAAGCCAGCACACAATTGGGCATTGTAAAAGAAAGAGTTATTAGTTAACTTTAAGATGTAGCCACTGCTACTGTTGCAGTTATATAAGCTAGTGAGTTCATGTCTGTGAAATGGCATTGAAATCAGCAAAGTTCTAAACAAATCATATAATTTTGTTTTTCTGACTGAAAGTTTATATTTATTTAGGAGGCTTTAACTCACAAAATATTTTATGATTCATAAAATTCCTGGAGAGCCTGTCACAAGGCTCAGTGTTTTCTCTTTCTGGAACTAAGCACCCCTGTGTGGAAAGCACTTCTGGCCGTCCAGCATTGTGTTGAGGAGAAGGGTGTATGCCCACATGGATAGAAGGCAGAAGTTGCCAATGAATCCAGCACAAACAATATGTGCCGAGAAGGTACAGAAAGCAGACATAATTTGAGTTACATGAACTTAATTTAAAGAGTCACCAGCAGATCTAATTGTAGGTGAGGATTGCAGTAGAAAGGGCCAGGATTTGGAATTAAAGTAAACCAGAGAAACATGTGGAAGAATTGATCATCCAGAAGGTCTGAACAAGAGTTAAGAGAATGAGACAGGGCACATGAGATTTGATGTCCTTCTGCTTCTAAAAGTGAGTCCTCCAGGCGGAAGCAGTTGGGCAATGAGTCCTGCAGAGCTGGGCATGTCCATGTGCCAGGGAATCAGGCCCCATACGAGGAACCCAAATGCAGAGAGACTGAGCAATAGGCTTCAGAACCCAGCACGGATTGACGAAGTATCAGAAATATATTGGCACAGAGGTGTACAGCAGTTGCTAAGATGAGCAATAGTAAGAGTAATCCTAAAGAGTGGCTGAGTATATAGGCAAAAGAGCTTGGAAGCTAGAGGTCTAGAAACCACAATTCTAGTCTCATCTGTTTCGCTAATTAAATCTGCAACATTTGGCAAAATGGCTCACTCCTCTGAGCTCAGTATTTTTTATTTTTATATTTTATTTATTTAGTTTTTTTTTTATTTAGGGCTTTAAAACTTTTTTATTTATATATTGATCTATACATTAATTTGCATTCCTATGCCAGTTTTTAAATATTCTGTTATGCCTGCACAAACAAGGTAACAAAGTGGGAGGAGCGGAAAGAGTAGGGGGTACAGAAAGCTGATCAGCTCTTGAAATTGAGCTGAACAGATATTTAAACAGCAGTAGGCTCTTGTAGACTTGCAGGCTGTATTTTTCAAAAAATTTTGTTGGAATTCTTCCTCTGTCTTGGAGGATGAGAGACATCCAATGTCATTTGGAAATGGGACTCTGTTTGTTTTGGATTTGTCTGCAGTGTCTTTGCTATGCAAAGATGTAAAACCAAGGCTCTTTTCCTGATTCATGTCACTGTATCAAGTAGAAAACCACAAACTTATGACTCCTATTTTGGGGGGTGGGGCTGTGTTTGCAGCATTCTCCTACTGATGTGGCAGGCGGCGGGTTCTGAAGCAAAAGTGGCCCCTCACGTGCTGAAGACAATCTTGTTGATACTGAAAGGAAAGCCTGGGGAAATGCAAGAAAGCACAGAAAGAAGACGTTTCTCTCTCGACGCTGCCAACATGATGCCCGTGGCGGTAAATAGCACCATGAGGATTTCTTCTTTTTGGCATTGTTGGCATTCCTGCTCATGAAAATCCCTGTCTATCCACAGACACAGTTAGACTTTCCTACTGTAGACCTTCTCCCATGCGTCCATTCATCCAACACATGTTATTGAGTGCCTACTATGTGCTATGCCCTGATTATGGAGCTTATATTTTTGTAGGAGACACAGACAATGAACAAATAAATGTTTGGCATGTCGTATGGCATAAAGCTTAAAAGAGATGTAAAGTGGAATGAGGGAAGTAAAGTGACAGGCAGGGTTTAGGTAAGTTGGTCAGGGCAGGTCTCTCTGCTGAGGTGACATCTAATCAGAGACCTGAATCAGGTGAGGGTATGATCCTTGAGTTGAGCATACTGGGATAGACAGCTTTAAACAGAGAGAAAGACAAAAGCCCTCGACTGATGGAACTTTACCTAGTAAGTCAGTGAATACAAGGAGGCCAGAGAATCTGAGTGAATTGAGGGTGATAGTATATATGATATGAGAGAAGTAGCCACCGGCTAGATCACATAGACTTCTGTAAACATGTGAAGACCTAATCTCATTTGTGTCCACTTTTATATATCTCCCAGGGACCAAAATCACCACTCCTAGGAGTAAATTCAGGTCTCACAGGGATTTAATAGAAAAAATTGGCATTGCTTCACAAACATGAAGTGTTGGAACATGTTTTTCTGCAGTGCCAATTATAATCCCAAAAGGCACAACCCCAAACACCATACCCTTAAATACTGAAATCCCCAAAGATCAAAATCCCTAAAGTACCTCTAATGTGTAATTGAATCCCTCAAACTATAATAACAGATTTAGAATCAGGTGCAATCAATGTTTCTAAAAGTAAATTTCAAGTTGTTACCAATCAAGTTTTTTTTTTCATTCAACTCAATGCATTTGGCAGAAAATTCAGATGAGTGGATTGGCCAAGTAATATGGCAATGATGAAATCTTCAATTTAAAAATGTGTCATTTGAGGCCGGGCGTGGTGGCTCAAGCCTGTAATCCTAGCACTCTGGGAGGCCAAGGCGGGTGGATTGCTTAAGATCAGGAGTTCAAGACCAGCCTGATCAAGAGCAAGACCCTGTCTCTACTATAAATAGAAAGAAATTAATTGGCTAACTAAAAATATATATATAAAAAATTAGCCGGGCATGGTGGCACATGCCTGTAGTCCCAGCTACTCCGGAGGCTGAGGCAGAAGGATCACTTGAGCCCAGGAGTTTGAGGTTGCTGTGAGCTAGGCTAATGCCACGGCACTCTAGCTCAGGCAATAGAGTGAGACTCTGTCTCAAAGTAAATAAATAATTAATAAAAATGTGTCATTTGTATGCATTGGCTGATGAAATTCTAGAAGCTTTTAATAAATTAAAGCCATTTTTGCCTGGAAAAGCCAGCAGAAATGTATTATTATTGTTTATTATGTTAAGTGGCCTATGAAGTGTTCTGTAGTGTTTTTATATGTTTTTTAAAATAAATCTCCCTTTAAAAATGTAAATAAATGTCTTTTAAAGAATTTTTAAATTATTTTTTCCAGAATTCTATTTTTAGGATTTAGATCTTTCAGGATTTCAATACTTGGGATTATGGCAAATGAGATTGTCTTTTAGGACTATGGCCAAACCTGTATTTCAAATATGGTAGGTTTTGCAGCAGTCAGTATACCAATCTGTTGGTGACCCGGCTTACCTCACTTCCCTGTATTGTTTAAGCACAGGGAGGACCTAGGTTATTAGTAGTACTATTCTTCATGGCCACATAGGAAGGGAACTTAGGATGGATGCCTCCTTGGGAACCAGTTTGCTTCCCACTGGTTTGGCAGCCAGGGTTTATTTTTAGTGCTTTGGAAGCCTCTTGCCATTGAATGGTTCATGGCTGACTTGGTGGCTGTTATTGTGGATATACATGCATGCTTCAGGCTCTCTTCAAGGAGGCTGGGGAAAGGGTGGCAGAGTCACTCCCTCTCTCCCTGAGTAAGGCTGACTGGGTTTAGAGGAAGATGCTCACATTTCTCCCTCCTTTTTCTTCCCCCAATAGGCATGTCAGGCCCTGTGCACACTGCTGCCTATTACTGCCTACAAGAAGGCTGCGGCTCAGTGTTTCCCCCACCTCTTGATGTCTCTCATGCTCCAGCTCTTCTACAGCAGCGATCTGCGACTGATACCCATGAACAGTCGTTTGTGAGACAGTCTTGGCTATTTGACGTTAAGTAGGAGATAAGTGTCCAGCTGTAAATATGTCTACTCCCGCGAGTTCATGTGGAGCTCCTTATAGTCCTATGTGTGGTGTATTCACTTACTACAATTTTCTCTTCTCTACAGCGTAGCATGCCTTCAGAAAAGTAAACATGAGTAGCTAGAAGTTAGCTCACACCTTCCCTGGGTGTGTGTAGTATATAAAGGACCATTACCACAAAGCACTGTGCATTCCTGCCACACTCCCTGTCAGATCACTGAGAGGCCACTGTGAAAAATGAGAGCAGAGAAGAACATTAGATCCAAAGCCAGGCATACCCCAGCTCTGACATTACTTTTTTACTTAATCTCTGACAGTAACCTCTCAGGGTTATTGTACATGTAAGATAAAAATTGTGTGCACAAATGTGCTGTGTGAACTGTAAAGTTGTTCTGTGGTTAGGATGTGATGTGTGGATTTATGACGACATGCAGTCATCTGTTCACATAGGGAGAAGTTTGGCAACTCCCTTTTGCAAATAGATAGTTGGTTTCACTGTCCTGCAGGGAAATCTCTACCCCCACTGCCCTTGTCTGGTGTGGAACTTAAGCCAGGCAGAGCCCTAAAGCACAATCTGTCCCATTAAGGTATATAATCCATTCCTTGTTCCTCAAGCAGACATATGCCAAAGCAATCCAAGTAGATAAGAATATGTCCTATTTATTTAAGGAATCCATAGAGGAAAATGGACACCTTTAGCAAGTCATTGCATCGGTGAACATCTCTCACAAATGAGCTAATAGAGTAATAACATGTTCTGTGATTAACCCTAGATTTTATGTGCTACACTTTCAATTTAACCCCCTCATCTCATGTACTATTAATCAGGGAAAATGAAGAACATTTATAATTGAATCTCCTTCCATTGAGATATCCCCTTTCTCAAAACCTATATTCTGCCCAATATGGGATGAAAAGACAAATCTTGTATGCTCAGTTTTGTGAAGTCACTGTCAGGTGGTGATTCTGTTCTCCTTTGGGGCCTTAGATGTGTCCTGAATGCCCTGAGAACTCTGCTGAATTGTTCTGGACTGCAGCTGGTGGATATTGCTCTAGAGAGAATGAACTGTTGGAGCCAGTTTTCCCAAGCACTGTTCCAAAATCATGGGGTCCAAATTATTGCCAAGTAAGAACAGGGAGCTCTGTGTAAGATTCTCTGTGTCTATCCTACCTTCTCCAATCTCCTTCAAGCAAGCCATTTGGGAGCACGGGAGACATCTACTTCAATTTCTAAATCTCCCTTAATGATCTGAATTGTCATTTGATTTCTACTTCTTCAGTTATTTTAAGGGGTTTATATTTTTGGAATATTTTTCACTTTCCTTGCCCTCTTACCTAATGATACAAATACCCAATACTCTCCCCTTGCAGGACAGGTTTCTCTTTCAGATACAGAGAACCAGAGGTGAATTCATTTCTTTTGCCTCTGATGTTAGCTGATTCCTATTCTGCAGGCATCAGACAGTCTTAGGTGTGCCCCCACTTTAAAGAAGTCAGTCTGATGAAAACCTATGCTCAATGACTCAGATAAATTTGGCAAAGTATAATGAAAGAAGGCTTTCAATTTTCTTCTCCTGGAAGGGGGTGTTTCTAGTTAATTCCTTACTGAATGCCAAGCTTCTGATCATCGACATTAGATTTTCTGATCAAGATTCAAGACATAGGGTCTTGAAAATATAACAGACTACTGGAAGTTGTGACTAAACCAGAAAATACAGTCTATATGGTCTATGGGCCCTTGATGTTTTTAAAATAGCATCTAATTTGCACATACATTTCAAGAACACATATTAATGTATAAAAATATAGTACAGCTACAAGTGGCCAGTAGTTAAGTGTCCCTCTATCTAAGGACATCTAGGAAGTGCTTTGGATTTTCTTACTCAAAGTCTGGTCCACAGATTAGCAGCAAAAGCATTACCCGGGAGTTAAAAATTCAGAATCTCATGGCTCTCTCCAGACCTACTGAATCAGAATCTGCATTGCGGCAAGATCCCCAGCTGATCTGTATGCAAATTAAAATTTGAGAAGCACTGATTTGGAAAACCAGCCTGGAGTCTTAAAATGGGAACTGTATTACACCATCCTTCCCAATCCTACCCCTACTGATCTGATCCAGGTCCCCATGTCAGGACAGCTGTGAGCCTGGCCACTGCTCATGTGTGTTATGGAGAACAGCTTAGTGAACCAGAGCTCACAAGCTCTTCTCCTGAATAACCTAGGGTAGTCCCAAAGTCTCTTCTGTGTTATGTCATTCAAAGGAAGAGCTTAGTCCAAAACCATAAAAGTGACCTGCACACACCCATCTTGGTCCGAGCACTAGATTTTTATTTCCTCTCCATTGGTCAAGGATTAATGGGAGCTTGCATTAAAATAGGGCATTCTGTTCTATAGCAAAGGATGGGAGAGACAGGAATAAGGAGTGATGTTACGCAAAGATGTTGGCAGGATCCAGGTATATATTAATGTAATTCCCCAGAGTCTGTGTAGAATTCACAGTGGAGCTGCAGTTTATTTAAGGAATAGAGAGTATCTTTCTGTTTATCTGGGAGGTACAAGGTATGAGAATAATGATCCTTTCTTTACCACTGTTAGCATTTGCTGCTACAGAACATGTTGTTTTCCTCTTCTTTGCTAATCCAGCACCTTATACTCCTTTACAGAGCTCTCACTGACATTAACTTTCCACAGTTTCCAGAAACCTTGCATTATCTCTACAAGCTCTCGGTGGAAGGTCCTCGAAGGTCAGAAGACAGTATCATCACAATACTATTCCTCACTGAAGTGAGTTTTTACTGGGAGACTGTGAACAATTGAGATCTCAATCCCTTACCTTATCCAGACTCAAATCAAGATTCCAGCTTCTTATCTTCCTTTCTGAATACTGGTTCTTACCAAGACTGAAGATATCTGAACTTGAGGTGGGGAGAGGAGGGGAGTTAGATCTGGACTATAGGAGGGTTGCCCCTTCAGCTTGCTCCAGGAGTTGGCTTTTATCATTTTCTGAGGGTGTTTTTGCACAAACACTATTTTTATAATACCAGTTCATATATTTCTGGATGTTTGTTAAAGAATATCAAGGGATAATTGAGTTTAATAAATATAGTAGGTAACATCTGGAATCCAGATGATACTTTGGACCATCTGGGGAAAAAAAAGAAATTGGCTAAATAACTAGGTGAAATGAAGAATTGTATTACTTTTCATATGAATACCATGCCATATATTGTAATGTTATGCTGGATTCAAGCAAATTGAGGAAATACTTTTACTTACAAAAAGTAAAGGTTCTATAAGTTGAAATTATTAGAATCAAATTTAATTTTTCTGTAAAAGTAATATTTTAATCCACAAGTATGACCTAAGGTGTGATGTCCAATATTTTCAAAAATTTCAGATGATTTCAAATATTATAACAAAATGGTTAATAAACTGTGAAAGACAAACCCTATGTACTTCTACTCTATTACTTCTGAAGCTTTACAAGTATTCGTAAATCAGTTTAACTGAATATTGCAGTAGACAATCATCAGTGTTTTTCAATTTTTTGAGAGATTGAACATTTTAAAAATATAATTACTAATAGTTTAAAATTCCATTTTGTGAACAATCTGATCTCTCCTTTCTCACTTACCTATTATGGTCTTAGCATTTTTTCTCAATAATTTGTATAGTCTCTTTCTTTGTCTTTCTCTCTCTCTCTCTCTCTCTCTCTCTCTCTCACACACACACACACACACACACACACACATTTAAGTATGTGAAGGATATTGAGGTTATTTATATATTTGCTTGTAATACCTACTGAGAGTCAGTACCCTGTCTGTTGTTTGCTTTTTGTTTATGGAATATGATTTGTTACATAAAAGTTAAGCCTTAAGAAAAAAGCTTAAAGAGTTGAGAAATATTCATGTACATTTTACTTTAATATATATACAAAAATATATTAACTTTTACATATAATTCTTTTTCACATGGAGTTAATATGACATACCATAAAGTGAGGATCTAAATTTAGTTTTGTTAAATAATTAACTATTACGTCCCAGGGATAAATCCCACTTGATCATAGTTCGTATCTTTTAATGTATTATTTAATTTGGTTTGCTACTATTTTTGTTGAGAATTTTTGCATCTATGGTCATCAGGGATATTGGCCTGTCATTTGTGTTTTTCAAATGTGCTTAATCCATTTGGATATCTCATTAGTTTTATTGTGACTCATTATTTTTATTATATTGCCATTTAAGTATGTGTAAACATTAAATAGTTCTAAATACAACATAAAAAGAGCTCCTATGAAATGATATATTCAAAAGAAATTTACAAACTGCATATGATTACTATGAGCATCATTAAAGTGACAGATGATATTTAATGAAACCTAATGGCCTCCCTCATCTTGAATTAATTCTTGCTGCTATGGGAGGTTGGCATATCTGCCCTTCCGAGTACTTAGGCGGTGACCACATTCTTCCACCACCGTCTCTAATTTGAATTTCTGGGTATCTCAGTTGTCCAGTACACTGTAAGGTCACTTGGCCTTTAGTTGTTCTGAACATACAAACTACGTATTTTAGCATATTTGGGCCTTGTCACCCAGTAATTCTTAAGATAGTACCATTCATGCCCATGCCATTTATTCATATATACTTGTTTTTTCTAATTTTTTTACTAATATGAATATCATCGAGTTTACATCTTTGTGCCTAAATTAATCCATTCACATTTAAAGTAATTATTGAGAGGTAAGGATTTACTATTTCCATTTTGTTCCTTTCTTGCTGTTTTACAGTTTTCTTTCTTTCTTTCTTTCTTTCTTTCTTTCTTTCTTTCTTTCTTTCTTTCTTTCTTTCTTTCTTTCCTTCTTTCTTTCTTTCTTCTTCTCTTGCTGCTTTCCTTTGTGATTTATTGATTTTTGTAGTGGTATGCTTTGATTCCTTTCCCTTCATCTCTTTGTAGCTACTACAAGCATTTTCTTTGTGGTTACCATGGGGCTTTTATAAAACATCATATAGTTATAATAGTCTATTTTAAATTAATACCTACTGAACTTCAACTAAGTTCAAAACTTTATATTCTTTCTCTTCCCTGACCATGTTTCATGCTATTGATGTCACACTTTACATCTTTTTATATTGTGTATCTATTAACCAATTATTGTACCTATAATTATTTTAATTCTTTTATCTTTTAATTTTGATACTAGAGTTAAATGTGATATATATGCCACAATTCCATATTAGAATATTCTGAATTTGACTATATATTTATGTTTACTAGTGAGTTTTATGCATCCATATGTTTTCTTATTGTTATGTGTGTCTTTTTATTTCAAATCTAAGAACTTCCCTTAGCATTTCTTATAAGTTAGGTATTATGGTAGTGACCGTCCTCCACTTTTGTTTGTCTGGGAATGTCTTTATCTCTCAATTAATCATGAAGAACAGCTCTGCCAAGTATAGTATTCTTGGTTGACAGGGTTTTTTTTTTTTCCCTTTCAGCAGTTTGAAAGTATCCCACTCCCACCTGGCTTGTAAAGTTTCTATTGAGACATCTACTGATAGCCTTATGGACGTTCCCTTGTATGTAAGAAGTCTCCTTTCTCATGCTGCTTTCAAGATTCTCTTTGTTTTTGACTTTTAACATTTTAAATTAGAATGTGCCTCAGAGAATTATTTGGGTTGCTCTTGCTTGGAGTTTGGAGATTCATGAATATGAATATCTATAACCCTCACAAGATTTGAGAAGTTGTAAGCCAGAATTTCTTTAAGTAAACTTTCTCTCCCTTTCTCTCTTTCTTCTTCTGAGACTCCTATTATTTATATATTCATATGCTTGCTAGTGTCGCATAGGTCCCTTATGCTTTCATTACTCTCTTTCATTCTGTTTTTTATTGTTGTTGTTGTTTTTGCTATTTTCAAATGACATATTTTCAAATTTGATAATGCTTTCTTCTGCATGATTGAGTCTGCTGTTGAAGCTCTCAGTTGAATTTTTCAGTTCTGTCATAATAGTATTCAGCTCCAGGATTTGTTTTGTTACTTTTTATGATTTCTATTTCGTTACTAAGCTTCTTCTTTTGGTCATGCATTGCTTTTCTAATTTTATTTAGTTGTCTATCCATGTTCCCTTTCATGTTATTGAGCTTCTTTAAGATGATTATTTTGAGTTCTTTGGCAGGCAATTTGTAGTTCTCTATTTTCTTTGGTCAGTTTCTGGAGATTCATTAGTCTCCTTTGGTGGTATTATGCTTGCCTGATTCTTCATTATCTGTGAAGAATTGTATTCATGTCTGCTCATTTGAAAAAGCAAACACCTCTTCTGGTCTTTACAGACTGGCAGGTAAAGACCTTCTCCTCTTGGGTGCCTGGGCCAATGGGATTTCCTTTAATATTATATTTGAATGAATTTGGATCTGGGTCACCTGGCTACTGCTAGGATCTGCCATTGGCTGACCTGTTACAAGGGGCTAAAGCAAGTGTGGATTCTGTCTAGTTCCTGGATGAACTGGTCCACCTCCAGGAACTTGGTCAGTAGGATTGGCTCTGGTATGAGGTTCCACTATAGAATCTACAGATGGCAGTAGTGTACAAATGGCTATGGCTTCTTCTGGGTCTGTGAGAGGGCTCCTTTTGTGTCATTAGTTGGCCTGGTCCAGGACCATGGCTAACAAGGCTAGAACTGAGTCATAGGATTACTTCAGTGTTCACAGCCAAGATTGTGGTCTGGGAGCCTGACACTAGGTGCATAGATAGGCATGTCCCTAAATTGCTCCCTAGGAAAGAAGAACTGCATCCAAACAACAGCTGAAAGGGGCTGGAGCCAAGTTCCAGGGCCTTTTCAGGATTTTCTGTGAGACCAAATTTAGCAGTCATAGATAGGCATGTCTCCCAGTGAGCTTTAAGCAGGCAAGACTTCTCTCAGGTCGTAGCTGAGAGAAGCCAAAGATGAGATAGAGGGCTCAAAGCCAAAGATAAGATAGAAGGCTTCAGGGTCCAAATCCAAAACCAATGTCATTAGCCCTGTTGCCCAAAGCACAAGGGATGTGACTTCCTCCTGGTTTTCTTGGCAGATAGTTCTGGTGGCAGGACTAAGACCAAGTATAACTATAGCCAAGTCCACAGGGGGACAGGGCCATTTTCTGGGTCTGGAGCTAGGAACACAGTCAGCAAACATGTCACCTAGGCAAGGGTGTGCCCTCTCAAAATGACCCTCCTCAATCTTAGACTCTACCAGATTTTTTGCAACCTCTTATCTAAATCCCAAAGAGCCCCCACCAAGGCACTTTTATCCATGAATGACTGCAAAATTATTGTTGCTGGGGGGGGAATATTAGTGTGGAATCTCCTATTCTGCCATCTTGCTAAACAATTTTAAATAATCATGATGATAATACACCATTCTTACTTTAGATTTTCTTATAATATTCTTATTATAGATTTTAACAGAAATGCTGCTTCTGCTTCACCATTAAGGTGGTTAACTTTCATTGGAAATAGATTATTATTACTGAGCTATTGTTCTATTCATAGTTATGATTCAAATATTGAATTTTATTGATATTTTTTAACTGTTAGTATATTTTTCTTATGTGACTTATTAAAGTTATATAATGTTTACACATGGCCTACTCTTAAAACTATCATCACAATTTTCTACAAACTAGGTATCATTGGAAATTGATTTATCAGGATTTTATTACAAATGTTTACATATATGATTAGGAGTGATTTAGGTTTGATATGGGATTTACATAGATTGTAAAAATCAATTGACTAATTTTAAATATTTTCGTATGCTATTGAATAATTTATGAATCTTGGAAATTATCTATTTCTTAAAATTTTGGAAGAATCCTGTTTTAAGTATTATGTTGCCATGAAAGTAAGGAAAAACGCAGA